AATGATCCCAAACAGAGAAAAACAGTTATGGGGAAGATGGGGAGCTTTCTACTAGTTACCTTATAGTCTCAGGGAAATGGGAAACAAAGTCAACATCAGGTGAGAGTGAAGATGGCCCACAATCAGCAAGTATCCAATATCCTCAACATCGCTAGATGTTCCCGTCATCTTCTTGCTTAACTGAAAACTGGCTGTTCCTTAAGATCACTACCTTCTATGAAGCCCTCTTAAGTGGAACTGCCATCTCTCATAGATCTCTACTACCATTGGGCTAAATCCTTTGCATAACTGAGATCCTTTCAAAGTTATTAAGACTAGTTTCAAGGCCCTCAATACGGTCTACCCAGGCAAGTGATTATGTGGACTTGAAATAAGTGTGAATTCCACTGTTATTAAGTGCACTGTTTTATAGAAGTCACTTCACTCAAATTAATAGAGACTGTTGTGCAGCTTCTATATCCTTGTAAATTTTCTGTCTAGTTCTTCTATCAATTATGGAGAGTGGAGTACCAAAGCCTCCAAATACTACTGTTGAAGGTGCTATTTTTCCAATCAATATTGGCAAATTGTGTTGTACATATTTTTAGGTTCTCTTTTACATACATAGAAATTTACAATTCTTATATTTCCCTGCAATGGATCCTTTTATCATTATAAAATGTCCAATTTTGTCACTAGTTACACATTCTCCCATAAAAATCTATTTTGTTGAATACTATTATACTCACTACAACACACACTTGCTTACTGAATTCTTAATGTGTTTCCTCTATCATTCCACTCTCAATGGATTCAGGTCATTAAATCTAAATTATATCCCCTGTCAAAAGCGTTAGTCGAATCCGGGTCTTTTATCAAGTAGACAATCTTTATCTACTTATTTGAGTCTTTAACACATTCATAATATGGGTAGATTTACATATGTTATTTTGCTATGAGTGTTATGCATTTCTCATTTCTTTTTGCTCCTCTATTCCTCTGTGACTACCATCTGCTGTGTTATATAGATATGTTCTAATAAAACAAGTGATTCCTTTGTTCCAGGGCCTCAGAGCTTGCAGTGTGGCCCTTCCTTCCCTCACAAGAGCTAGCATGTGCCCCACGCTGGTAGGTGCTAAAGAGTCTCTTTCCTCACAAAGCCACAGGTACGCCGCCCAGGGGAAGCCCCCGTTTTCTCTCCGTCACCTCAGTGGGGATATGCCGATCCTGATAAGGGAGGAAAGAAATGGTATGCCAAAGGAGTTGCAAGAGATAGCCAGCCTGCACTGGCAGGGTCAGGGGACAATCCCCAGGATGGGATTTTAGGGGTGCTGGATCAAGGGGACTGGAATGTAAGACTGGATAACCAAGTTTTCCTGAGTGGGGGCACTGCCTTGTATGGCGGGACTTAACACACTGGCAAGGAGTCCAGGAGAGGGAGGAAATTCACTGCCAGAGCAGCCCCTAGGAGCTTTAAGAAAGCAATGGGCTCCATGGGGAGAAGTGGCAATGCCTGCCTTGGACTGGCAAATAGTAGAGGAAAGAACAAAAAGGTTGAGTGATACAGGATTGGAGAGAAAGTGTGAGGCCAATCACATGGCCTGAAGGTTATGTTCCACAGGAGGGCCAAGAGCTCACACCATTCACCAAAGCCATCAGGGCCGGTCTGGTGAGAGGGGCCCCTGCATCACTAAGAAGTTTGGTGGCTGCTCTCTGCAAGCCAGTGTGGGTGATGGAAGGAAAGCGGTCCCCGCACCTGGGCTCACTACTGTCTAATGTAACTGAGGACAGAGGGCAGCTCTTAACGAAGAGTCTCCAGGGGAGCACATTTCAAGGAACAACTGGCAAGGTTAGAAGGGCAGTCAAGAGCACCTGATGGGCAGGGAGCTGAGAAGATGGTTCAGACAGCCTGGTTCCCTAGGGGCAACTATAACCAGAAAAACGCAAAAATGCAAGAGAAGGAAGGTGGTTGTCCCAGTGGAAAGTCACAATCTCTTGCGCAGTTCCTGGCCCTGAGCCAATTTTGAGACTGACCCCACTGACTGAAGAGGTGAATGTGTCCTGAGGAGGAAGGATTCAGAAGCAAGGTGGTCAGTATATATGCTGTTATGATGCCACTATCTTTCTCCACAGAGAATGACTGCCATTTCTCAGGTGACTGTAGGCAGGGGAAGGAGGAATGCTCCAACGTTTGAAGAACTACAGGATACAAGGTTTGAACTGACATTTGTTCTGGAGGCCCAAAGTGTCACGATGAGTAGGGCTTATGAGGCCCTGGTAATTTAAAGGGTTGGGGATAGTGATCGGTTCCCGCTGAGTCAGCTGGGTCCCTGGGCCAACACAGTGGTCATTGCTCCTGCTCACGAGTTGACACTTGGCGGGTGGAACAATAACCCCCACGTTGGGTCACTGGTCTGCAGGACAAGAGCTATTGTGCTGGGGAAGGCCAAGAGGATCCTCTGACGCTGGCCCCCGCCCCAGGCCAAGATAGTAGGTCAAACCGCTATGGGATCCTGGTGAGGGTGGGTGGGGTGCTTAAAAGAGATTCTGATGCCATTGGACACCTATGGGATGCAGGGAAGAGGAAGTAAGAGAGCAGCAGGGATGAAGCGAGTGTAGAACATGTGGAAAAGGTCTAGGATTCTCTCTGCGGGGGACAGAGACAGGGATGGAATGGAAATGGCCAGAGGGGAACCAGGGGCTTTGACTGGATCCATCGGTAATGTGTCCTAGGATGGCACTTGGCACAGGAGATTTTGCTGGACCCTTCATTATCTACCTTAGCATACCTGAGATAGCACACACTGTGACTTGAAGAGTCACTGGGAGAAGTGGGAGAGAGCAATCTCCAGACACAGGCAGGTATGCAGTGTTGGGGCTGGGGGCACACTCCATGAGGCTGACTGCAGAGTTAGAATGGATGGAATCTCCCCTGCTTTCTAACCTGCTCCAGCACAGCAGGCTTCTCAAGGGCAGACCCAGAGAAATCAGGCCTTTGAGTTCCTGCAAGCAACAGGTGTTGAGGCACCCCAGGCCTCCCTTGCAGGTCAGCCAGAGTAGGGTGCAGGAGGGAAAGGTGACAGGAAGACAGAGGAGTATGGATGGGAAAGGGAGGAAGAAAGGTGTTGAGGGAAAGCAGGGCTGTTGGAGCAGGGATTGAGTGTCAAGCAAGGGAAATTCTAAAACTGAAGGGCCTTAGAGAAGTCAAGGGAGCAGGGACCACACTCCAGATACCAGGACTGCTCAGCTCATGGATGCTGGGAAGCAGTAGTGTCACGGAAGTCTGAGAGGTAACTGGCACTCCACTGCCACCGCCATGGCCACCACCACTGTCCCCCATTGGCTGTGTTTCCTCCCAGACCTTTCAAACATACCTGTACACACACCTGTATGTATTCTCAAACATTATGCAGGGTTGACATGGTTTCTTTTTCTTTCTTTTATAATTTACAAAGGTGCATCCAATGGCCTTGTCCTGCAGCTTTGCTCTATGCACTCACGAGGATGCCTCTGCAATCTGTGAACACAGCCTCATGCGTCCCTTCTGACTGCTGAGCTTTAATCTACTGGATACACAGGCCACGTTGCACTCATCCCTCTCCTTACTGATGGGAACTCAGAGCATTCCCAGTTTCTGACAACCAACACCCTTGTGCATGTGTCCCTCGTACACCAACCACACATACCGGCCTGTCTCTGGAAAATGTACCAGGCCTGGCAGCGGCCTGACCTGGTCACAGCGGGAATGCACGTTTCCCAGGCTAAAGAATCTCGGCTCAGAGCAGACCTCTGGAGCCCGACTGCGTGGTTTCTGACCTGTACAAGATCCCAACTAACCCAGTGACCTTGGGCCAGTGGCTGAACCTGTCAGTCAGTGCCTCACCTGAGGGTGCTAATAGGGGGGTACTTCAATACTAGGACTGTCATGAGCACGCGTTCGTTCTTGCCCACAGCACTTAGAAAGAGCACCAGGCACACAGAACTTGTGGTAGAAGTTGATTTCCATTCATTCTGCCAAATTACCCACCTCCCCTCCCCAGATGACGCCTCTGCACTGCTGCTGCCACAGCCACTGCCACCATCACCACCACCACCACCCCCACCCTCCACCCCCTGCACCACGGTCCCCCCAGCAGAGGGCAAAAGCATGGGATTGGTCACAACTCTCCCATCCTTGGAATGGTTAAGTTCTTTGAGGGTTGCAAACCTGGTGCCGGACAACTGATTGGTGGTTTTAGCTCGCACTTGCAGGATTAGTGATGGTGAGCATCTTCTGGGGTGTGCACTGGCCATCGGGATTGCCTCTCCTTTGAACTGACTTGGAGTGGGGCAGGGGCTCAGCAAGGGAGGGGGGCAAACCCCAGCCTGTCTGCTGAACAGGCCTGCCAGTAAAGTTTGCTGAGCGCACAGTCACAGGCCACGTTTAACAACTATAGCAACCGTCACCCAGCAGTTGCTGCGACAGCAGCCGTACTGCTCATAATCATGACAGCATTTGCCCTCTGGCCCTTTACCGGAAGAATGAGCTGAGCCCTGATCACTGCTGGCTGCCTGTGCCCATTTTCCTATCAGGTCGTGGTAAGTGTCAGTGTGGAATGGTGGCTGGCAACACCCCTCTGCACCAGGTGCTTCACCTCCATCGTGACGTTTCATGCCTCCAAGCCTCACTGACAGGTGCCGTCATCACCTGGCTTTGGGGATGGGAAACGGATGCTCAGAGCTGAGCTCCTGATTGGAAATTGGGACGTGGGTTCCCGACCAGGCGAGGCCAGACTTGGAAGAGGTGGGACGAGAGGCGTGACCTGCGGACTCCAGTCCAGAGGGCCCAAGGTCTCCTTTGGCGGTGGAGCAGAGGCCCTGGCCCTATCGGCTNGAGGGGGCGGAGGGGGTCAATGAGAGGAGGGCACATGAGGTTTGATGCGATCTCATGAGGCGCCTGCACACTCAGAGACTCGCCACTACTGCAGGGGCAGTGACCTTGGAGGTCATTGCCTGGGAGCAGGCCTGCGCACATGCGCAGCATGACCTCCCCCGACAAAATGTTTGCGTACAGGGCGGGTTTCAGCCCAGAGGGTGGGAAGCAGGCCGGTGTCCACCCCGTAGATCCCGGAGCCCCGCAGGGACCTGCGTTACGCCTTGAAAGGGGGGCCCCCGGGTTCCTGGACCCCGAGGGCTTCGAGTCTGAGCGGCAAGTGATGGAGGTGGGAGGGCCCATGCTTTGGAGCCGTGAAGGCCGACCTGTCTCCCCGGCCGACGACAAGGGAGATGCTGTGCACTACGCATTCCACCTCGCCGACGAGTCTGTAGTGGCGGCCATCACACAGCAGCAGCTGAGTGTCTGGTGTACCCCGGGTGGGCTCAGAAAGCCATTTCCAGAGAGCTACGCCTCTGAGGGCTCGGTCGAGTGGCCAGGCCCAGAGGCAGGGCCCGGTGGTAGGGGCATGCTTGCCCTTGGCTGTGTGGAATCGCAGGCAGCTTCTGCCACCCTGCGCCGGCTGGGTGAGTTCCACGAGCACTGGGCCTGGGAGAGGTTTTCTAAGAGAGGCAGTAAGAGTAGGCAGAAGGTTGGTGTGGGTCGCCAGCGGCCCTGGGCAGAGGGCCAGACTGGGACGCCTTTGGACCCCAACTCATCAGATGAGTTGGGTGAGATCCAGCTGATGAGGATGAGGCTTTACCCCAAAGAAGGAGGCCAGGCCAAGCCCAGCAGCCCCAACGATTCCAGGGACACACCCAGACACTCGAATTTATACCTCAGGGAGAATTTCCCTCATGTGCCAGGCTCTGTCCTGTCCTCAGCTCCCCTAGGGTTCACTTCAGCTGTGGAAAGGCAGGCTCTTGGCCAGGTGGACATCTCTACCGCTAAGAAAATGCAGAGTGTGTTCTGGGAGAAGGTGGGGAGCAGGCCCAGCTACCCTGGAGCAGGAGTGGGAACTGCTGTCGGCGCGGCCAGCACAGGTGGCCTGCACCAGGCCACTCCTACGGAGAAGGTGGCCCAGGGGAAGAAATCTCCAGAGGATGTCTCCAAAGGTACCCTGGGGAAAACCTTCCCTTCCTGGGGCCAGAGAGTCCCGGCAGCTCCCCTGGAGACAGCCACCTTTCCCCCAGTCTCTGGGGTTCCACTGCCTTGGAAGTCCAAGAGGTATTCGTTGGTGCGCTTGTTCGCCAAACACTCCAAGAACAGGGGTGCTGGGAAGAATTCTGTGGCCAGGAGGACAGGAGAGTTTGAGCTGCTGGTGGGAGGAGATAATGATCCAGATGGAGATCCAGTCCCAAAGGGCCAAGTGAGTAGGCCATGCTGCTGCTCCTCTCTCCCTCCCCATGCTTCTCCCCTCCCCCCACCCCCACACCACCACCTCTTGACCTCCACCGTCCACCCCTCAGCGTCTGTCCCCGGGCACCCTGGGTCGTTAGGATGCCAGATAGGGGTCGTTTCAGTAGGGGCAGACAGGAGGATGACGCTGCGTGTGTGCCGGCGCCATTCCGGACTGACCCTTGTCTGCAGGTTTTCTGCCCTCTCCCCCAGGGGGACTGGGATGGAAGGGAAGGGAGGGCTGGTGGCTGATTTGGATTGGGGACCCCTTCAGAGTTTGGGAGGCACAGGTTCAGTGTTTAGATCCCCATCGTCACCTTCCTGATTCCTACATCCTAGCTATTCCCCCAGCCTGCCTCGCAGGGGCCTGGGCTTTCTCAGTGCCCCACTGTTCCCCCACCTAGCTCAGCTCTGCCTCCTGGCCTGGGGCTGACTGTGAGACAAAGGTGCTAATGAGGTCAGCCTCTGAATTTCCTTCTGTTCCCTGCCTCACCCCAGCCCTAAGCACACATGGCACACATGTGCAGGTACCCCCTCTGCCCCCTACCAGTGAGAAATTTTTGTTTTAGCCTCCAACATCCAGTCCAGGGCCATGCTGTCTGTGTATGCATTGTGGAGAATGCCACATTGGCAACCTGGACACCAGAGCCCCCCAGGTTCCAGGAAACTCACAGCCCTTGACCCCGATCCAGGAAGACATCATGCCCAGAGGACCGGCACCCTCTGGTGAGTCTTGTGGGTTTGATAAGAGGGGAGGGGAGAGGGCATGAGGAAGGAAGCTCTGGCTCTGCTGGGGGCTCAGCCTTGCTCCCTGACAACCTGCCTGCCCAGGCAGCTTCTCACACAGGAAATCGGGTGTGGACAGGGCTAGCCATCGTGTGCGTGGGGTTTGAGTTGCAGGGGTGATCGGTGGCAGTGCCACAAAGTGCACCTCTGGACATCGACTCTGAGTGGAGCCAAGCCTTTTCTGTTAAGTCCTGTTTGGCCATGCTGCTCATCCCAGGGTCTGGCTGTGGCTACAGCTCTGGGAGGGTGCCACCCAGAGCCACAGCCCTTGGGGTCCTGGGTGAGCACAGTTGCAGATGGGCTGCCCCAGAGGAACAGGGGAGGCAGCCCCAGAGGGGAGGCTACAGCAGCTGGGCAGAGCAGGGCCAACTTGTGGCCAGCAGAGGGTGGTGCTGCCTCATGTTGGACCCTGCTAAGCCCTTTCTGCCTCACCGGGAGCCTTGGAAGCTGGATTTTGTGTTCTTTCCCTCTCAGGTGACCAGGAACCACTTGACGTCTCCCCAAGACAAGAAAGGCAGCAGCAACCTGCTGGAGCACAGGGATGTTGTCAGGTAATGCTTCCTCTGGCTCCTAGGAGTGCAGGCCCAAGTTAGATGGTGGGATACGAGTCTAGGTTAAACTGATGTGCCCCCTCCCAAGTCCTGCACCCCACGGAGGCAAGGCACCTCCTTTCCACAGAGGAGCCCATGCCAGTCTGGACACTGGGCTTCAGGTTGGAGGGCCTGGGGGAGGGGTGGAGGGCGGGCAGGTGGGAGGTCAAGGATACAGGAGGTTAGAGCATTCTAATCATTTCTCCTTCTCTGCTGTCTGCCGGCCTAGTGTGTGGTGCTACAGAGAGAAATAGATGAGCTTAAAAAGCAACTCGGTATGAGGAACCTCGGGCTGGGGCTCATGTGGTAGGGGCAGGAGGCAGACTGTGGAGTCTCGGTGCCGAGTCTAGGGGGTGGAGAGTGGCCGGGCTGGGGGTACACTCCTGTGGGGGAGGAGAGCCTAGCAGGCCTGGCCCTGGAGCCTGCTGTGCATGTTCACAGGCCAGGGGGTGGTGGAGTGGGGGTGCAAATGGGAAAGCATCGCCTGCACTGCATCACACTTTGCAAAAATGAGATCTCTTCTCAGGACATTTAGAGATGCCCCACTGATTTTCCCTTTACCTACCACTTGATATGGCTAGTATGGGGGGGGGGGGTGTATGAATGACAAGTGCTGAGAGGTTCTGATATGTCCCAAAGCTTGAGAAGTACTGACACTTTAGCTCCCGTTTATGAAAAGTGTCCACATTTAATTCAGGTGGTGGGTGAGTGAGTCAGTGAGTCCTGGGCCCTGTGAACAGGGGCTGCAGGGGGTTTCAGGTTGCAGGGCTAGGCAGTGCCCCCCGGGGTGACATGGGGGATGGGCTCATCTGTCCCCATGTCTGCAGCGCCTGCTTGAGTCTCTCTCTGTTTCAGCGGCCATGCAGTCCCTGTTTGACAAGTTCCAGGCCCTTTGAAGTGAGTGTTACACACTCCTTCTCCCTTCCCATAGTCCTGGCTATTAAGGAGGGCTGTGGGCCGGCCCTGACTGGAGGCTTTTCCCTGACTCTGCTCTGTTCCACAGGTTGAGCCCAGCGTCTTTGTACAAGAGGAGCAGCTGGTCGCTGTGGAGCCCAGCAGCTGTGGCCGAGTTGGGTCCCTCCTGTTGTTCTGCCTCAGCCGGGGCTTCCTCTCCTGCTTCTTTTGCCCCCTCCCCACCCCAGTTCACAGCAGTTTCAAATTAAAGTACCTCTCAAATTCTGTGGTCTGTCTGCTCTCTGGGGGCTGGGAGGAGTGGGAGAGGGGTGGCGCTGGGAGCTGCTCCACTTCAGAGCCTTTTCCAGAACAGCACCTCTGGAATTGTGCAGTGGCCTTCTCCCTGTGGGGAGTCCGGGCCAGCCTCTAGTAGGGGCCCTGCGGTCAGGCCACCAGAGGGCCCTGGGTCTGGCCTCTGTGTGGGCTCTGCCTGGCCACATGAGCAGTTCCTCCCTTCCCCCTGCAGGCCCTCTTGGCTTCTCTCCTGATCTCCTCCTCTTGGGTTTCTGGGTTCCCAGGTATTGCTGTTCCTCCCCCTACCCTTTAGCAGGATCTCCAGACCCCCTTCCAGAGCTCTAAGCCCTCTTCCCCTCCCTGGTTGGGATCTCGGTCCTGCTGGTCCTGTCCACCCTGCCTGGCTGGCCGTGTGCCCTTGGCCTCCCTTGTGGCTTTCCTTTGGCAGCTTTCCCTGCACCTGTGCTTCAGCAGGTGTTAAAGAATGTGGTGGGCCTTGTCTTCCCTCTCCCAAGGTCCAGTGTTCTCTGTGGAGTCCTTACCTCCCTCAGGTGCCACCGTGCACAGGATAAGTTACCCGCGGTCCCATGTGGCATCCTCCTCTCCTTTGATGAAGCCGACACCTTTGACACTCGGTTACTGATCCCGTGGGGCTGCCCTCCTTGGCTTCAGTAGAGGGGAGGATGCAGAACTCACAGTCCAGGGGTTTGCAGAGCAAGAGCGGAGGTACAGGGAACACGACAGGGAAAGCACAGGCTGGTTTCTGGGCTGGAGGTCGGAGCAAGGAGTCTGTCGTGGTGGTTCTGGTCCAATCTCGGGGAAACTGCCCACCCAGCAGCTAGAAATGGATGATCTGGCCCCCGGATTTTCACATCCTTCCTGGCCTAGGCAGCTAACCTGGCCTCCCCCAGCCTGGTCCTCTCCATGCCCTTGAGTGGAAAGTGACCAGTTTCTATGGCACGCATGCTTGATAGGTCTCAGTGTTCTTGCACAGCCCTGGCAAATACACCCACGACACAGATGTTCCTGGAAATGCTATTTCGGTGTCCCAGCTCAATCTCCCAGAGGCCTCTCTAGGTCACATGAGACTTAATCTGAACTCCGTGTTTGATTTCCCTGTTGCTCGCATTTGGGGACTACCTCCTTCCTTCAGCCAGGACCCAGGGCTAGGGCTTCAGTACAAGAGGGTACCGAGTGAGGGCAGCTTCTGCCAGACTCCCTTGCCGAGTGACTGGGGTTTAATATATAAATGGAGGGATGATGGGGAATGGAACATTCATGGTTGGCATGTGTGCGCCTGTGTGGGTTTGTGAATGATAGTGTTTGGAGATAATCTCCTTTGAAGGAGAAAGATGTGACTGCGGAATAAGGGGAGTAGAGACTGGTCAAGAACCCAGAAAGGATGGAGTGAGCAAGAGCAAGGGTTGGGTCTATGTTTCCGGGAGTGTTGTTAAATTCCTAAAGCACAGGAGGGGAATGACAGGGAAGTTGCCAAACTGCACTATGGCATGTCGGAACACTCAGAATGCTGGAGTCTTTGGAGGAGGCTCTGGATCCTAGTCTGTGATCCTGCGGTATCTAACATCTCCTGTGTGTGTCTATGGAGTGAGAGTGGGAAGGTCGACTTCATCAGAGTAGCCGGGACACCCCTCATCTAAGAAGCAGGGAGCTCACATAGGAGACTGCCCCAGTCGAGTTAGCCAGGACACAGGTGGGAAGGCACAGTGCAGATGGGCAGTAGGGTGCCTTCTCCTGGAAATGGGGCAGACTCAGTCCACCGTCCTCCACACTCACCTTGTCTCTCTTGCAGGCCCGTGGCCAGAGCTCAGGTGACAGACCCCCATGTCCCAAATGGGACAGCCATGGACCTCAGGGGTGCAGAATAACATTGGCAGCACTCAATGCTTCCACTTCTAAACCCTCACTTGAGAAGGTGAGCTGGATTGCTTAGGCTACAAATTTGACCCCAACCCGACAGTGGTAATTTCTTGGCAGGGTAACAGCATGCTGCTGTCTGAGTGAATGAGTTTGGCAGAGACTTTCCAACTGGGGTTTCCAACCAGCCAGCCACATAGGCAAGTTATGAATGGGCAGAAGATCAGCACAGGCACTGCTCCAGGAGGTGGGGGACGTGGTCACCAAGGGTGAGGATGAGGAGAAGCACATTGAGCGAGTCATGGGATAACATGAACACAACCCCAGTGTCTAGTTTTGCCAGGCTTCCTTCCCTCCTCTGAGCACATGGTCTCTCTGTTCTGTATTCACACCAACTACAGCACAATAGCATTGCTATAACAGTGTACATCACAGGCTACCAGCTAGGGCCTACAGGTCCGGGGGGTATTCATAAGTGGCCAATTCTGGCACATAGATAAAAAAAATATATCTGGGTCCCAGGGGAAATGAGGATGTCAGACTCCTATCCTAATACAATGTGTCACTGTTGCCTTCCCCTCAGGCCTCCTGTCCAGCCAAGGAGGCAGTGGGGCTCTCCTGGAGAGCCCTAGGCCCCATCCTTCCCCATCCTGCTATCTACCCAGCTCCTGGGCAGATGCCCCTCTCCATTACCCCCACTGCCACCAGCACCACCACCAGGAGTGGCCAAACCACTCTCTATGGACTCTTGGGGGGATTGGCAAACCCAGGGAAGGTAGGAGGAGGTGAGCACTAGAGAGGGAGCAGGGTGCGGTAGGCAGAGTAATGGTCCCCAAGGATGTCCACGTCCTAATTCCTGGAATCGGCTAACATGTTACCTTGCATGGCAACGGGAGCTTAAGGTCACAGATGTAATTACAATTGCCTCTCAGATGACTTAGAATGAGGAGACTCTCACCCAAGCTTGCCAGGTCCAGCCAAGCACACTGGGGCTGCCAGGGTGACCGTGTGAACGCTACCTGCCTGACTCCTGGGAGCACCACTGGCACTACTACGGGGTGCTTGGTGCCCCTGCTTTTGTGTGATGTGGAAGCCCTGGTAAGCACCACTCAGATTTAGAGAACATGCCAGTACCTTTGGAACCCTTTTCATGCCAAAGCCAATCACTTCTCTGCAGTCCTCCCAAGGTAAGTGCCATCCTGACTTCTTAGGATTTTTAGGACTTTTATAAAGGATAACAATTGCTATTTAATGCATAACCCTTATAAAGATCTAAAAGAAAAGTTACCTGAAATTAAACATTAATTATATCTATAAAGCACTGTATACATGTGCATAATTACAGAAAACATATACCTGCAATTTGACAAATAATTATGAAGTGATCGAGCCATGTAGCTACTGCTTGGGAGAAGTCATGGTACATTGAACCTCTAGAAGTGCCATCTGTGTCCCTGTCTGTGAAGGAAGCCAAATGCAAAAGTCTACACACTGCTTGCTTCCACTTATGTGACATTCTTGAAAAGGCAAACAAACTACAGGGACAGAAAAGCAGATCGGTGGTTGCCAGGATCTGGGGATTGAGAGAAGGGGTTTAACTACCAGAAGGAATTTTTGGGGTGATGAAAATGGGTTATATTTGATTCTGGTAGTGATCCCCTAACAGTATGAGTTCATCAAGACTCATAGACATTGTATGTAAATTATATCTTAATAATGCTGCATCTTTAACATCTTTTAAAAAAGATGTAAAAATGTATGTCACAAGTGGATATTGATGCTATTAAGTATTTTTCTCTGAATATGAGGATCATAATTTCTCCCGTAATCAGTTAATGTGGAATATTATATTACCTTACCTTATTTTCTGAAGTTAACTCAGAGTTGTATTCCTGGAATGAATCAAATTTAGTCATGGCACATTATGTTTTTTTCCTTCTTATATCCTATAAGATTCAGTTTGCTAATATTCTGTTTCTGACCCTTGCTTCTATGTCAAGAGCATGTGACTGACCCATGATTTCTGTTTCCAAAACTGTCCTTGACAGGATATAGTGTCAAGTTATTCATCCTCACAAAATGAGTTGGGGAGTGTCCCTCCTTTTCTGTTTTTCCTCAAAGTTCATGTCAAGTTAAAAATATTTTTGCCTAGGATGTTTGTCAGTATTCAATATTCGGGGTTTTTTGTGAAAAGCGTTCTGAGTACTGATGTATTTCCTTATGGGTATGGAACACCTCATGTTGGTTGTTCCTTCTTCAATCAGTTTTTAGAAATTTTTTTTTTTTTTACAGATGAGTTACCTTTCTCAAGTTTTCAAAGTGATTGGAGAAAAGTGGTCTATAATACCTTCTTTTACCCCCAAATTTTACTTACATATGCCTGTCCCATGGATAGTTATAAGAAAATTGCAAGGATCACCCACTTATCCTTCACCTGGATTTGCCCATTATTAACATTTTGCACATTTGCCATATTCTCTCCATTTTGCTTTTATAAATTGTTTTGTTGAATCATTTGAGTTCCTTGAAGACATTACAGTATATCCTCCCTAAATATTTTGGCATGTATCTCCTAAGAATAGAGATAGTCTGCTACAAAATCTTAATGCAATCATCACACTGAGAAAATTTAACTGTGGGAGCAAGGAAAAGATGGCAGAGTAAGAAGGCAAGGTGAAAATGTCCTCCCACATGCACACCAAGGAAACAACTTCAGCAAATCAAACTAACCCTGAAAATGTCCTGAAGACTTCAGAACAGACCATACACACAGGTGAAGAAGAGAAGACCACATTGGGAAGGGTAAAAAGGTAGAGCCAGAGGAGGAGCCAAG